ACCTTTTTTGTTGTTATATACCTGGATGACTGAGAAAACAAACTTTGTGTTATAGAATATATTATTAATAATGTTAAATAATCAGTGTCGTGAAAGTGGTTACAACTAGAGGTTGACCTGTTCTTTGGTTGACGCCAGTCTTAACAAAATGTAGCAATCCAACAAAGTTCAGTCAGGTCATCTGGACAGTTTTGTTTTTTGCTGAGACGTTTCGTCCTTCATCCAAAGGACTTCTTCAATCCGAGAAGCCACCAAACAAACTGATTCCCACAAACAGCATACTCCATAGTGGGAAAAAAACTGTTTGCTGGTGCTGGCCTCTGGGGCCCGCCCTCTCCCTCGTCAATGTAACAATAATTGTTTAACTTAAAGGAATGCATAGTTGAAAACCATTCGAAGAACTCGTACACCTAGCAATGAAATCCTTTTGGTAAGTGGTTATTATTTTGGCCTATTGCTGTTGGTAATTATGGTTTTCTCTTAGTTGTTTACACTTTTATTCCTTTTCTTAGCCGTCTTTGTGGACAGCAAAGTAAGAATTTATTTGCTCGGGGAAACAAGTTTCCAGTTGTGCACATGACAATAAACATTTTGAATCCTTGCTGATTTTTCAAAAGTGGTAAATATTGTCAGATTATTGAGTCTTTCTCTAGGTGCAACCAATAGGTTTTACATAAAATGTTTGTGTTGATTAATTCACATGGAACCCCCATTTTACGTTGCTGTTTTCTGGACTTTTGTCTTTTTAATAAGATCATTCACAGGCCGTCCTGGTTGTTACCAATGCTATTTGATCAAATCCAATGAGTTTGTTTCTTAACAGATTGTTGTTTTCATCCATCCATCCATTTTCTTTACCCGTTTATTCCATTTTGGGTCACGGGGGTCGCTGGTGCCCATGTCCAGCAATCACTGTGCGAGGGGCGGGGTACACCCTGGACGGGTCGCAAGTCCATCACAGGGACACATAGAGACAAACTAGACAAACAACCATTCACTCTCTCACTCACACCTAGGGGCAATGTAGAGTTACCAATCAGCCTAACATGCATGTTTTTGGTCTGTGGGAGGAAACCGGAGTACCCGGAGAAAACCCACGCATGCACGGAGAGAACATGCAAACTCCACCCAGAAAGGCCCCTGGACCGGGGTTTGAACCAGGGACCTGCTCGCTGAGAGGCAGCAGCTCTACCAGTTGCGCCACCGTGCTGCCCCGATTGTTGTTTTAAAAAACAGTTTTTTGGGGGAGGGGGGTTTGGGGGGGGGGGGGCAGTCCTAGCAGTTGAATCCTCCCTTTTGCAAGTGACGTGATGATGTATCTTTGTCCATAAATTTTCAGATAAACATATCAATGTCATATTCTGCCGTAAGAAGTGTTGAACCCAAGTGCAGGAGGATGACAGGAGGCGCCAGGAAAATCAAAATATTTATTTAGTAAAAACTAAACTGAAACTGACGGGGCAGCGTACCCACGGATAACAGGACACAGGACGTAAGGCAGAAACAAACCATAAGGACAATCCCGAGACAAAGACAAGACGCAGAGAAGCTGAATATATACACACACTGATTGGAACAAATAACAGACACCTGCGGTGATTTAACATGACACAGGTGAGACAGGGGCTGAGCACAAGGAGGGAAAACACTGAGAGCTGGAAACATGAGGAAACAGACAGACAGGACCAAAACCCCACAGTGGCCCCCACTCAAGGGATGGCTTCAGACATCCCAAGGACAAGCTAGATCCAACTTGGGTGGGAGGCGGGACAAACACACGACAGACCAAGACTGAGAAACACAGAGGACCAAAAGAACAAAAAAAAACCAACAGGAACAAACCCTGGGGAACACCAAACACAAAAACCCAAGACCCCAACTCAGAGTCAAGGTGGATGGTTATGAGACCGTTCAAGGCAGGTCTGGGGTTCAGACGGGAGGGAATTATATCGTTATCGATCGAAATTAAGAATATATTGTGATAAAAGTTTTGGCCATACCATCCAGCCCTACGTGTACCACATGAAATCAGTTCAAGGTCAGTAAGCACAACCAGATTTAATGAATAAGGCTCATTGTCAATTTTTGAGAAAATTAAAGGATTTAAGTGCACCTTATAGTCTGAAAAATACGGTAAATAAAATAAAATGTATAAAAAAGTCCATTTAAGCAGCGGTGTTATGGAGAAGCACTAAAGTACAACATCAGATGAAGCGATGACGTTATGACAAGAATCGTCTCTGCTGCACCCACACATAAAGCATGATGTCAGAAGTAAGCACCGGGTGTTTACTGTATCTCCATTAAGTCTATGATTTCAATCATCTTCTCTCTGTGTTTCTGCTCTGCAGCTCTGAACGAACCAACCATCGACTATGGCTTCCAGCGGCTTCAGAAGGTTATCCCTCGGCACCCAGGGGACCCTGAGAGGCTTCCTAAGGTATCACAAGAATTCACTCTGATCTTTGGCAAATGTATCTGATGCCTCAAGTGGAAATCAAATGCTGAACGCAGACTTCTGAAGAAGACAGTGTCAGTTTCTCCATTAGAGCCACGCTAAGTTGTTCTGGTATCAAAGACTGAACCTGCTGAAATACACAAGAACGAAAAAAACTTACTTGTTTTCTTTATTTTTCTGAGCAAAATGTGTTTACAAATCTCTTGTGGGTTGTGCTTTTACCTCTTCATGAACTCTTAGTGCACGAGTGTCATAAAGCTCCCATTTACAGCGTGTGCGATTGAGTCTTCTCCAGATCAGACAGTCGAATCTGATTATTTGTTTATCACCCTCAGATCAAATGAAGTGTTTAAAAGATCAGCAGATGCAAACAATTAACAACAAACGAACCCTCACATCACGATCTGTGCACGCAGGATGCCTCTCCTCGTGGAGTTTTGCGTCCTGATGAAGATCTGAGCTTGCACGTTTGGGAGGGTGAGCTCACAAACAGCTGTCGTTCACTGGATCTGGTTCCTGGAGCCGATCCAGGATTGGCTGTATGTGATGTGACATCATTAAATAAAGAAGGCGTTGGTCAAGATGAAATTATGTGGTGATACTGTGATGTCACCGCGCTCACACCAACACCCGTGAACCTTGCACATGTGTCAGCGCTTGTGTGTGATGTGGATCACGTCTGTAGGTGTGTGTGCGACACGTGACGCAGGCAAACGTCACGTCTGCACTGTAGACGTGAAGTTTGTTCACATGTTGATTCAAATTGTTTTCGCCCGCCATCAAGAAAGGCAGGGAATCTGCTTGTGTCTGTGTGTGTGTCTGTGTGCGCATGTGCTTGTTTGTCTGTCTGTTAGCAAAATATCTCATGAACCAGTGGCCAGATTTTAATGAAACTCGCAGAAAGTAATTATTTAATTCACGACTACAACTGATTAACATTCGGAGGCAACCCGATTTAAGATGGTCACCGTCGTTAATTGTTTTTGGCAAAAGCAAAAATGGCTACACAGTAGTCCCTTGTTTATTGTGGGGGTTACGTTCTGGACCCCCCCCTCGCAATAAGTGAAAAACCGCTAAGTAGAAATGACATAGATTTCTGAGTTGAAATAACAAACAAAACAGTTCAGTCAACTAATAAATTTAAATAAACTAAACTAAAGCTTAAGTTTATTTTGCAATAGTTTATTAATGAAGATAAGTTCATAATATTTATTCACACAACTTAAAGTTTTAATTTGAACGAGTTGTAATGCCTTTTTACTCACCAGCTCTGCAGCTAGGTTCTGGTCCGGCTCGGTTCCGGTTCAGCAGACCTACCCAGCCTTGGTCCGGTTCTGATCGTCTCGCTGCATCCACTGAGCACCAGAGTCCCTATGAATACTGTAAGGACTGAACTTATTTGGACTGAATCAAAACTTTCCCTCCATTTCAGCAGAAAGCAACTTTGCTTTCTGGGTAATGCACTGTTGGCTTCTGGGTAATGTAGTCCTTTAGACTGGTGGTACAATATAGGTTTATTGAGAGAAAACTACAAAATGGTGGCACTTTAAAAAATATATATATATTATTTTTTTCGCCGTGTACAATCTTACAGTACTGTAGTTTGAAAAACCGCGAAAGAGCGAGTCCGCAAAAGTCGAACCGCGAAGTAGTGACGGACTACTGTAGTCCAGTGAATTTTATTTACCTAAAATTTGGTGTGGTAGTAGCTGAGACTCAACAGATCAGAACAGATAAGAATCTTGTTTAAGATCATCAAATGCTGCCAGCAAAATGTGTATCACTAAACCAAAGTCCATGCTCAATAATCCAGGTATAAAATCCAACAATGTTGTCAGGTCATCTGGACATTTTTTTTTTTGTGCTGAGATGTTTCACCCGCCATCCAGAAGGCTTCATCAGTCTGAGAAAACACCAAACAAAACTGCTTCTCTCCCAGCAACTTACGCCAAATGTGGAAAAAAAAAACAGTTATGTTGGTGCTAAAATGGCCTCTGGGGCACGCCCACTCCTCCGGTGCCCGCCCTCTCCCTCGTCGACAGTCATGTCAGATTGGTTCAAAACACCAAAGTCCATGCTCAATAATAATAATAATAGTGTATCGCTATAATCACAAAAACGTTAAATTATGGTCATCTGGACAGATTATTTTTGGAAGAAACATTTCGTCTTCATCAGTCTGAGGCCTGATTCCTTTATTTTACTCCATATGATTTTAATGTGTTAGTGACATCTTGAAGAATAAAACAATAATTATCACAGTTTAGTCTCAAACCTACAAACACTATAAATATGAATGCCTTATTTATTAAACTAATAGAAAAAGCAGCATTTGATAGATTTTAGTTATATACTTTCTTTTTTTATTTAATCCATGAAAGAAGGCGTGTGGTACGCTCGGCTGAGTGCTGGACACCAACCATTCAACGTGTTGAAGTTAGAAGAGTTTGTTGGCGGCGCCACGCAGACGGCAGACAGACGGGGCAGCAGAGTGTGAGAGAGGATTATCGGTGAACAGCCGATTCTATAATTGTTCAGTGAACATTTGGGGGGATTTTTGTAGCCACACACCGGCACACAGCAGTTCAGCTGCCAGTTTGTGTCACACTGATCTCCTCAGCATCCATTCATACGTGACATAAAGAGTTTCTACTGCGATGCTTGAAACCTGCGTTGGCTGTCTTGTTCAAACCGACTGGGAAACGTTGGAATTACGATGAAATGTGGAAGACTGGGTTTTAGTCGACTCAGGAGACAAATGTGAAACAAATGATGATGTTATGTGGTAAATAAAGGGAAGAATCCTAAATTTCAAAGTAAAATTCCTAACCTGAAACTGTTCGATAACGAAGGAAATCGTTTTCCCATAAAACTGATCTTCTGCTGGTGGTCTGCGAGGGGAACGATCTGTAAGTTCCTGTAAAGCAGGAGCGCCTATTTGGCTACTTTTTGAAATTAATCTCACTTTTGCCCTGGATTTTATTAATTGCAGCTTAAAATGGTTTGAATCACTACAATGCTGCTCTTTTGTTTTTTTGAAAGAATTTACATACTCAACTACATAAAAGAAAATATTTATAAAATAGAGAATATTTTTCATGTTTCAATTGTTAAACTAGAAGCAACATCCTTATACATGGAGATAATCTAACTTCATGTGGGTGTATTCTTTACCACTTACTATTACATACATAAAATATTTATGTGAATAAACATAAAGTGCCATTTCCCATTCACTGACAGGCAACTGTAGCCACCTTCATTTTATCTGTAATTCTCATTGTTAGTTAGCCTTCTTTTGTCTTCCATTAAAACGCTTTAGGGAAAAAGAAATTAAAACAAACTAACAAACTAACAAAAACCACCTTTGGAGAGAACTGTTTACATTTTGTAATTTCTACATTGTACATCTACTAAATATGCCCACGAAGAGCATTAAAACTGAAAGTGAACAAAATAAACTATCGCCTGAAGAAACTGTAATAATTAAAGAGCCTGTAGGATCTTAATAGCAAGTCATAAATGAAAACAGCAAAAACTAATAAAAGCAAACTAAAACAGCATAACCATGTGGAAAATGTTCCAGCGCCTAAAACATTAAGACAAAACTGCCTGTGAGGGGGGAGAGAGTCTCATATGTATTACCTGAGAAAAGAGTATAGATACATTATATTTCATGTACGGTATGTTTTCATGCATCACATGGATTACTCGCTGTATGTGTGTTAAACACACCCTGACCATTCACTAGACCTGTCTCTGAATCTGTCAATCATTCACTCACCAGTACTTCCTACAGGTTTTAGACTCATTCTGTGCAGAGCTTCACACCGAGACACTTATGGACATTTTACTTTTTCATTTCACCTTTATTTAACCAGGTGTCAACTCTAAGAACAAATTATTATTTACATTATTTACAGTACTGGCCTGGCAAACACCAATAAGCACTTGTAGGGTCAAAGGAATTCAATTCAGTTTATTTAGATAGCACCAAGTCACAAGAGAAGTCATCTCAAGGCGCTGAACAGAAACATTCATATATAAAAATAATAATTTAACATTATTTATCTGCAGAGCAGACTGCTTTGAGTTTAACTCCATCGCAGAACTTTCATCTTGAGCAAGCATGAAGGAAAGTGGAAAAGAAAAACTCCCTCATGAGGAATAAACCTTTAGCAGAACCAGGCTCAGGACAAGTGGCCATCTGCTTCGACCGGCTGGGTTTGGTAGGAACAGATACACAATGGCAGGTCAAGAATCACATGTTAAGATAGAAATAATATCAAATGAAAACTATTCCATCCATCCATCCATTTTCTTTACCCGCTTATTCCATTTTGGGTCACGGGGGTCGCTGGTGCCCATGTCCAGCAATCACTGTGCGAGGGGCGGGGTACACCCTGGACGGGTCGCAAGTCCATCACAGGGCCACACAGAGACAAACAAACATTCACTCTCTCACTGACACCTAGGGACAATTTAGAGTTACCAATCAGCCTACCATGCATGTTTTTGGACTGTGGGAGGAAACCAGAGTACCCGGAGAAAACCCACGCATGCACGGAGAGAACATGCAAACTCCACCCAGAAAGGCCCCTGGACCAGGGTTTGAACCAGGGACCTGCTCGCTGAGAGGCAGCAGCTCTACCAGTTGCGCCACCGTGCTGCCCATGAAAACTATTCAATTTTAACAATTCATTTAAGGAAATGAGGTCAATTTGTCCTCCAGTAGTCTAAGCCTATAGCAGCATAACAAGCCAATCTAACTATAGGATTTATCAAAAAGGAAAGTCTTAAGTCCAGTTTTAAAACTGGACAATGTGTCAGCCTCACGGACAGAAACTGGAAGTTGGTTCCACAAGAGAGGAGCCTGAGAATTGAAAGATCTTCCTCCCATTCTGCTTTTGGAAACTCTAGGAACCGCAAGTAAGCCTGCAGTCTGAGAGTGAAGTGCTCTGTTGGGAAAATATGGAACAAAT